GCATCCTCCCTGTGCCACTGGAGCCCGCTCCATGCCTAGCCTTCACCGAGAAGAGCCCTGCGCAGCCCCGGATGCAGCCCACCCCGCCCTGCACAGATCCAGGGGGCAAATGCCCCTCCCATGCCTTCCTGGGGTCCAAGCAGCAGCGGGAGCTGCCCCCCCATGATCTGTGGCTCTGTCCCGTGCCCCGCCCCCCGCCGGCAGCACCTGCCCCTGCCCCCTTCCTCGCCACGGGGGGGGGGGGGGGGGGGGGCGGGGGGGGCCCGGGGGAGCGAAGAGCCGCGTCGGCCTGCTTGGGGGGGGGGGGGGGGGGGGTGTTGAGCTGCTCCCCCACACTCCTTTCCTCCTCCTTCCCCTTCCACCACACCAGACTTACCAGCTGGAGGCAGCTGTATCAGAAATCGGATTGGTATCGGCTGATATGCCTCCTTAAATATCAGCTATTGGTATCAGCCCCCAAAATCTCTATCAGTGCACCTCTACAAAAAATGGATAAACAGCTATAGACAGATTCTGTTACATTATGGGCAAGGCTCCAGGGCTCTCTCCCTTCTAAGGAAACACCCATCTCCCTTTGATGTAGGGCCCACAGTTTCCCCTCCTGGCAGCCCAGTGGGACAGCTTTCAAAAGGATTAGCTCATGGCCTGGCATAGAGCACTATGGTAGGAAGTAGGAGATGTAGGTTCAAATCCCTTCTGGGTAACAGGGGGTGTCTTACTCCCTGGGCACATGCCCTAGCTACTGGACTAAATGTGGGGAGCCCCCTTTTTATTTCTTGCAAGTATATACGTAACTGGGCAATCGTACTTCACCACAGGTGGAAACAGAATCCAAACTGTATGTACGTGCCAACAGTTACACTTATGTGACTATGCAAGTTTTGCTTAGGCATGTAAAATTGAAACAAGATTTGCCTCAAAGTTCTTTCTAATGAACAAATACTAATATAGCAGGGGTTAAACTACAACTAATTGTCACAAAATATATAGAGTAAGGACTCTGTGATTCATAACTGCTTTATGGGCAATTCCTACCACATCTCTTTCTAAACACATTGCTTTTTTTCTTTTTTTAAGGAGAATCAATTATTTCTTATTATGAATAGAAAGGATACAATAATGTGTCGATCTGATGGATTCCGCTGACGAGTCTTTTCCAATTGAGACAACTGCTTAGCTTCTCGATTCTTTGCTGTTAAAGTTGCTTTTAAATCATCCTGCAAGTATATTTATAACAGTTTGTACATTTAAACAGAGCTACAGGAGTATGAAATATGTATGTCTGCATTTAAGTTTAGTCCATAAAGCCGGGATAAAACCTTTTGCTTTATATCAGAAGTGTCAAACATCAGGTGTCCAACTTGCAGGCTGGATCTGGCCTGCAAGCTCATTGCTACAGCTGCCAGAGCCCACTGCTGTTAACACCACTTGCCTCCCCTACCAAGCAACCCTTGTTCACTGCTAGATATCAGGGTTTGTAGTCACCTCTGGCAACTAAGATCAGCATCAGGGAAAAAGAGAGGGGCGAGCAGCAGTGACACTAACTCCCTGGGTTTTTGAGTTGCATTGAAAAACAGAAGCTCCAGTAGCTATGGGGATTAATGCTACTACCACTACCACCTGTGGGTCATCCAACTCATGGAAAGCCCTGTGGGAAAGCCCATGATACCAGGGCCATATAAGTTTTGGTACCCCTCTACCCAGGGCCACACAAGTTTTGGTACCCAGGCACTAAACCAAACCAATTTTTTACAGAATCATTCCTGTTAAACACTGAGCACCTACCAAGAGACAGACATACATCACTGGGCCCTGACAGTGCTCAAACTCCATAGGTGGATCCACTGACGTAGCATCTTCTAGAGGTTAGCTATTAACATCTATATGAAAGCCTCTATGAATATTCTGTTAGATTACTAAAATGCCACCATTCCACAATCGAGAAACATGATTGTGGTTATAAGCCCACCTTGGTTCA